GCATTACGTCATATAGATTATTATCACGCATTTACTATGCTTTTCATATGGAACATGATCTTGGACGTCTGCATAATAACACAGTTATTAGGTAGGGGGGTTAAAATATCATCCGAACTGCTTCGCAGTTCGGTGATATTTCAACTCCCCTACCCAATAACTATTATATATTTGTTATAATTTAATACAAGATGCGGTGATTGAGAATTTTTAACCACATAAAAAACGTACAATATGTCCAATAAATGTCAAGTAAATGTTCAGAATAGGGTCTATTTTCCGAATAAAAAACCGACAGTGTTTGGACAATATTTTTTATAGGGATACCTATCACATGGTATTGACGCATCACAATTTAATTTCGAACTTAACAACCCTAAAAAAAGGTAGGATCAAAAGTTCGGGTTTAGTTTGTGTTGTACAAAAAAAACTAGGACAACCAAAACAAATAAAATCCAACCGAAAAACCCAACCGACCGGAAATAAAAAGGCCTTATATTATCCATGAGATCGCGAAATCGATCACCAATTTTTGGACCGGTATCAGCAACCAATTATCTAGGAGTACAGTACAAATCTGCGATCAATCCAGTCTGATCTAGAATTGAACAGGGCTTAAGTTTCGCGGTTTCTTAAGAAATTTCAAGTTTTTAATAAAGAAAAATTCTAATTTCATTATCTCAAAATATACGTTATCGCTATTCAATTAATAAAAGTAATTGTGATTTATTATTCAATAATCAGATATATATATGATTTTTTCAAACATTCATAAATCAAACTATACTATAAGGCAGAATTCGAATGCGAGCGTGACGGTATAATGATACTACTGGATAAAGTTTTGATGGTAATTCCTTCACTGATACTTCCTTATACTTTGTACCATCAACTGAAAAAGCGAAAGTTTTTTTATTCATATCTAGGTGAACAGTTATTTTTGTATTATTCTTTTTAAAGTGTGGACAATAATTTGATCTACCACCATTATAATCGCTAATATTACCATCTGTACCTAATGCCCTTGAAGTAGGTTGTCCCACCCACTTTTCATAATTAAAATTTTCTGATGCACATACCCCAACCCAAGTATTTACACAATGTGTTTCAATAATAACACTCCATTCAAAAATTCCTTTACAATTTAATGGCATCTTAGCTCTAACACATTGATGTTGTTCACAACCATTTGGTGCGTACACAACTTTTCCATTATCTTCAATAATAAGTTTCGATCCACACGCTGATTTATCCCAAACATAATCTGATTCTTTGAACTTATACATTGTAAATGGTATTCCTCGAATTTCACCTGAAACTAAATTACTTGATTTAGCCATTTTCCGATAAACATCCATAATTATTTTTGATGGAGCAATTTCTAAGGGTTCAATAATATCTGTTAAAATTTGTCCTTTTATTCGGCTAAAATTAATAAATTCAACCAAAGGCTCTAATTCTTTTGCGACTTTTTGATAATCAGGAATAAATTTATTCGATGCTTGTATTGAATTTTTTGTTTGTTCTAAGGCCGGTAACCGTTCCATAATAGCTTCATACGCATCATTAGAAACTTGTTTTGCTGCAAGAATAGCACTATATCGAAAAACTTCATATTCTGGAGTGGCAAAAGGTTTTTCCTTTTCATACGTGCAAGATAAAAGATATCGAAGTGCTTTAATAGATAATCGATCAGGTTCAATAGTATCCAATGGTATAATTGATACCGTTTCAACCAATAAATTTAGAAGAATATTATCTTCTGATAATGGCATTATACCCACAACTTTAGATAATAATTCTGGTGAATAATTTTCCAAATAATCCGCATTTTTAATAGTTGTCAAAATAATTTCCTTAAGAGATGGTAATTGGAAATAATCCGCAGCATAAAAGGTTTCAATTATATTATTTTTATTTAAAGATTCTTTTTTAATTGAACCAGTATAAATATATTCTAGTATAAATTTCATTACGGAAGAATTAATTTTTGGAAAAGAAATTTGGGTTTCTTTCGTCCCATTGTAAAGTAATCTGTCAAATACTTCTGACCTTGCTGCTAAAATTGCTCTAGAGCCATGTAATTTCTTTTCATTTTCACATAATATTACGAGATCACTATATTTTTCATTATCTATTAATAACCTTAAATCTTGTTCTAATGAATTTCCTCTCGTCATTTTTGAGAATGAAAATGAGAATGAGAATAAAAAAAAAAATATTAAGGCTAAGCATCTAAGTACGTAATAGTGCATCGGCATTTACCAAGTTTAGAATACCATGATCAACAGAAATTTCCCCTAAATTGGATACTCTGCTAGGACCCAGAAATATATATATAGGGGTCAGGTGATGAAAAAAATTTTTTACTATGAGCTGTACGCATTTTTTCAGGGCCGGAATTATGATAATGCCAGTCGGTTACTATAATAGGAAATAAAAGTCTGACTGGCATTATCAAAAATTATCTAAAAAAGGAAAGATTTTCATGACTTTTTTAGTTCAAAATATGCAAACTCAAACCTGACCCTTTTATATATATTTCTGGGTCCTACTCTTCTGCTGTTCAATTAATAAAATATTCAATAAATATCATGATTTTTTTCAAACATTCAAAATTAAACTTTTCGATAAAGTAGTATTCGAATGCGAGCAGAATTACATAATGATACTTCTGGATAAAGTTTTGATGACGAACTATTAACTAATACTTCCGAATATTTTGTATCATTAACTGAAAAAGCGCAAGTTTTTTTATACATATTTAAATGAACTGTTACTTTAACGTCATTATTTTGAAATTGTGAGCAATACTTCAATCCCTTGTTAGAATTATGGAAGTAACCACAGGTGCCTAAAGCCCATCCAGTAGGTTGACATCCTGCCCAGGATTCATAACTAAAATTTTCTGATTCACATATTCCTTATACCAAAATTTCTCAATAATACTTTGCTAAGGGCAGTGACATATAGCTAATATTATTTTAATAGTAACGTTTACTCCCCCACCCCAGGTAAGATTTTATGATCAATCACAACCATTTCACATGGTTCATATTATGTGTAACCTAAGATTTTCTTTCTCCCCCACCCCCTAAATATTAGCTAATATATGTCATTGCCCTAACAACCTAAAATTTTTAAATGTACTATACAAACCATGATAAAATACTTGTTATTGGGTTTGTAGAGCCATTTCAACGTATTAATTTATCGATATATACGTAGTATATTGCATTATGAAAAAGATGCCAATACATATCCCGAAATTCTGATAAAGTCATCAAAATGAAAATTGATTAATAAAATATATTAATTAACATGTAACGAAATAGAAGAGCAAAATTAATAAGTTATGTTATACAGCTAAATAGAAAAACTCATTGTGCAAATATTCCAAATTATTTGTTTATGCTCATTTGTACAATTTGCTTTACAGAATTACAGTTATGTACAAAATGTACGTGCAAATTTTGATCAATAATATGAAAAGAATGAATATGAGGCCATAAGTCGTCCTTTGATTCTTGAAGACCATAGATTCTACATCCAGCAAGGTCATCTATTCGGCCAGTATCATAATACCAATCTAAAATAAAAAATACATATTTTTTATAATCATTTGCTTGGTGCGTAAAAATTCCTCTAATAAGGGCGTGTCCCGTTCCATCATCTTCTATATCACCTACATGAAATCATGAATATTGGCAAAATCATATGTTTAGATAATTAGTAGCCAATCATTTTCTGATCACATGATAAAATTATATGTCAAAAACTATCACCCAGCGCAGTATGATAAAAAAATAAGGGCTGTGCGAATCGCATATATTATTTTTTAGTTTTACTGGGGTGTTATCCTATTTCTTCAAAGTCGGAAAGAATAATGAAATAGGACCGCGGTATACCGCAATGTGAAAAATTCTTTGTTGCAACACAGGACCTACTCTATAAGTAAATAATGACGACGAAAGCATGTGTTGTGAAGGGGAATCCGTCAAGTTTATTAGCAAATGTATCGTTCTTGACCCACTACGCGGTGTTGACTTGACCTGCATAATATATTTTACAATAAGGAGGGTCAAGATGATGCCACCAGAAGGGTCAAGTCCGATACTTTTGCAGTTTATTATCCTGGGAGTGTGGACGAAAGACGTATGCAAACACAGGCTTTGATTTCCGCTTATTTCAAAGGAGATCCACCAGCAAATTTATACCATGTAGTGGCGTCCCCCATACCCGCCAAGTTATTAGAATTTTTTTATCTATATTCACATCATGTAGCATCTATTTGCAATTTTTATGTATTGTAAGCCAGTTCCGGCAACGTTTTTTTATTTTCTTTAAAGCATATATTATATTCTTGTCGTAAATCCACCCCCTTGATCTATCAATTCTATCCCGAAAAAATTCTACCTATTTTCTCCTGAAATATTCTCTGGCTTCGAGCATGTGCGAGCAATAAATGTCACGTGAAATGATACAATGCCTGTGTGACATAAAAACCTATAAATTGTTCACTTCAGTGAACGCCTGCCACAGAAAATACTTTTTCCCTACTCCGAACGTAACACATCTTTTTACCCGAGCCTAATACCCATATAAAAACGCAACACTATGTCTGTATCTGAAACTAACACACCAGCTTCCACCTCCACTTCCGCTAGAGCAACTGGAAATGAGACGGTCATGCTGGCGGAAGAAATAAAAAAATATAAACAGCTGAGCTTATCTCATTCTTGCAGGACTTGGAGCTTAGTGGGAAGATTTTCGAAATTTTAGAAAAGGAGGAGATTAACGGCCGTGACTTCCTCAAGGTGACCGAAGAAAAGCTTCGAAGTGTTGGTTTAGGTTTGGGACCTGCGACAAGCTTGCGAATTTCGCCAAGGAGTGTGGGCAGAAAAAGTTGCGGTCCTTTTCCTCGTACCTTGGTATAGATAGTATTCCGCTGTTCTCTACGAAATTCAAGACAGTAATAAGGTTTTCAAGCGTTGTATTGAAGAAATTTTGGTAGGTTGCGCTCCTACGGCACCTTACAACCGGTGCGTAATGAGTATGTTGTGGCACTCCTTCATTCAGTCATTCATATCATTATGGATGAAACGAACAAGGATCTTAGCATGCGTCCTCAATATGGGATAGTTGGTGAGGAAAGCCGGGGTCGGGTTGATTACGCAATAAAGGAAGCTGAAGAACTTATCAACATCACGGAGGATAAACAGCATAAGGTTCCTCGCTCAGAATATCAAACAGCCTAAGTGCGCATGCGAGACGAATAAGAGGAAGAGAAAGCAGGGCGATGATGGTTTCGATTACCTTTATAGTATCGTTGGGACTGGCATTAAAAATTTTGGGAAAAGTTTCATTTTATATGGTACCACACTTAGTTGACTAATATACCGGCAAATATCACGTGATCGAGAAACTTGCGTAACATTATTGCGCCGTGATCATCATCCTTAAATAACATCATTTCATCATTTTAATTGATCAGTGAATCATGTATAAAGTAACTTACAAACTTTTAAATTTTTTCTTTTTTTTCAAAATTAAAACAATCTACAAAAAATAATCATGGAAAAGTGGAACCCCAAGCGAATTGTTAAACCTTTAATCTCTGAAAAAACGAGAGTTGAGAAGCTCGCCGATAAAATGAGAATGAGTAAGTAAATACTGGAAAGCTACAACCTATATTTTATTTGTGTAAATGAACCAATTATTTTTGTTTTTAGCACCCACGACTCTTCCAATTGCTATGCAAAACGAGAATAACGCAAGATTAATTCTCAAGGCAGTGAAAGCAATGAATATAGATGATCCCGCTATTTTCGTTCAATGGAATCCTAACGGATTCAACGACACTGCAACGCCAAATGTCCGCAACGGCGTTGCAGGCCAAACATTACAAGCTCTCGTAACCTATATTACTGGAAGTGGAGGTGTAGACTTTAACGGACAAAATTCTTTATTCATATTTAGGAACAACATGACAATTTCCCAATGTCAAGGAGGGTTTCCTCAGTGGTATGAGAACCTCGTTGGTATTTTTGGATCTGTTAACCATGTTTTAATTATTTTCTTTTCTACTTTTTTTTGTTAAAGGGCTCATCATCAGGCAACTATTCCGGACGTTTGTAGTTCGATTTGCCGTATTAACAAGTTATCAGCTAATGGTGCGATCGATTATGAGTTGTTTGAATTTCCATTAACAAAATAATAAATAATATAAATAATATAAATAATATGTTTATGAAATTTTATTGGTTTGATTTGATGTAACATTCCATGTAGATGAACCAATTAAACAAACTTTTATCATGCTCGTGATTGATGTTTCCATTTATAGAATTGTCAATAAACACGAACCTTTTTGAGTTATTGAGTATAACTTAGATTTATCATAATCCATAAAATAAACTCCTACCATCCAAAAATTTCGATTTTTGAAAAAATAAAAATAAATCAGTTTATTAGAATTTATGTAAATATGTTCGGCTAATGTTTTCTACTACATATAAAAATAAAACAGATCATATATTAGAATCTATGTAAATATGTTTGGGCTAATGCTTTCTATTACATCAAAAAATAAATTAGAGGGGGGGACCATTTTTAGAATCTATATATATGTAAATATGCACAGCGCCGGCCAATGATTTTATTCAATCAGTCAGCATTGGTACCCATCCTCATTTAGATCTAAACCATCGAATTGATCTTCAAGCCAATTTGGTCGAGAAGAATTCGTTCTAATCCTTTCTTGAATGATCTTTATTTCTTTATCAGTAAATTTTCCAAAAGACGATGGTGAAATTCTCCTAATTCGCTTGATCTCGTCTCTTCCTAAACCTTCTGTTTTGAATATGTTGTAAATATTTTTAGCTGAGCGTTTTTTCTTGTTAAAGATATTACAAGACATGTCAGAGGGAAATTGTCGCTTAATTTCTACATTAAGCAAGATTCGCGCGGTTTGAAGAGGATGAATAGATGCAAATTCAGCCAATTTCTTCTCCAATGCTTCCCCGAGAGAATAGTGTGAGTCAAGGATGCCATATTCTGCGCGAGATACTTCACGTGTTTTTCTTTAAGAATCTTCTCAGTATCAAGTATTTTATTGTGTAATTCGACGAACACCATATCTGGAGTTGTAGGGTCCCCGTTTCCACATTTGCCACCGGCAACGGATTAAAGTCTTGTGGTCTGTTGGATAACTCTTTAAAAAATTTTTTAACCCCATCTTCTTCTTGAGGATTTAACCTTGCATCATCATCATCGCCAAGATAAATAAGTGACAACGTTGACATGTCGTATCTTTTTTTAAGGAAATAATAATACATCTAAGATGGAAGCTATGAAGACAGGACAATCTCACGACTGGTTCCATTAGGTTCGAATAATGGATCGGGTTCATTACACAAAGAACATGTTTCGGATTCCCCTTGATCGGATTCCTCTTGAGCGGATTCCCTTTGAGAATTGGTAGGTGCGGTGAGTTGAATATTGCGATAAGGGAGATTTCCGTCGAGTATACCCTCATATTGGGGCCCAAATATTTCTTCTTCAATGGTAAATGGAACACGCGGAGGGGTGTTATTGGATCTTTCTGATTCCATTAGTATTTTTTTGAGATGCGATTTATGGGAAAAATGTTATGATGAGCGAAAGGAGGGCGGTTAATAAGTTTTGCGACGGAAAGGGGGAACATCCGTGAAGCTTTAATCTAACACTTTATCATTATCATTATTTATTTGCTAAAAGCCCGTGGTAGCTTGCATCAGTGAAAATTTCCGCATCTATACAAACGCTCGTAATGTATACTCTTTTAGGCAGGACCTGCTTGAATTAGGAAAAAATTTAGAAGTAAATTTAATTCTTAGAGTATTCTTAGGGTAGCTAATTGATTAAGATTTATCTATAGACTTCCGTAGAAGAGTAATGTTCGAATACTACTTAAATTACTATTTAGATTTAGATCATCCCGCCAGCCCTCCTTAAGAACACATGTCGTATAAATGGTTTTTTGAAATTTTTTTTTGTAATTATAATACGAAATCGTCAAAGTGCATCTTGAGGTTTAATATAAATAAGCCTGTTGTAAAAAAATCACCCCAAACATATCGATATGATCAAAAAAAAAAATTTTATTATGACGACCGGCTTTTCTACATTTTATTATACCATATTATTACGAGATATTTCATTGAGTTTAAGTAATTATAATGAACTGCTACAATATTCGAATGTGAAATTCCAAAAGTACAAAATCCCGAGAAACATAGCCGAAGTAGGATTAGGATATTCATTAAATTCATTACATTCATGTGAACACAGGATTTTGAAAGCGCGGTAATAATATTATTAGTATATAAATAAATAATTAGTATTTATTAGTATGATTTATATCATATAAATAGTCTAGGGATACATAAATAACACTACTAGAAAAAACTACAATTGTATAAATGTCTAAATGGTACAAAACCAAAGCTATATTATTGAATTAAGAAGGAAATAGAAAAAGCAAAGAAAGTCATATTTATTTTGAATCATTGACCTTCTTAACACTAATAGGATTTACTAAAAACAAACTATAATTATATAAATGTCTAAATGGTGCTATCATAAACCAATTGAGATTAAAGACAGATTAGGAACTTGCAAGGTTGATCAGGGCAGAGTAAGCACGACACTTTCGACAAGAGAGGCGTCAAATTTCCTAGTAAGACCGATAAGAATAGCAGGCAAAATTTTGGCTTCAACATTACAAAATGATCGTGTAACAGCAGCAAAAATAGCCAAGATGAAGAAAAGGTAGAAAAGAAGAAAAGATTAAATTTCATTTTGATTTTTCGGTTGACTTTTTTGATTTTTTACAAAGAAATGTTTTTTGATCGTTCGTTCAAGTTGTATGGAATTGAGGGTATATTTATAACAAAATTTGAAAGGTTGTCTTTATTCTGCACTTAAATTCAAAGAATGATTCAAAGAATATTCCACAATTTTAATTTTTAGTGCAATAAATTTTTAAGATAATGTTCCTATTGCTCATTTGCAGTTACTGTACCGTTAAAACTGTTGGCCCAAACAATCAATTCTGAGGTAGCCTAATTTTGAACTGGCATAGTGAGCCATTGTTTACCTCAAAATTGATTCGCATCACGTTCTGTAATATATGACCGCATATTTGTTTGATTTTTATTCTACTTTTTACGATATTAAATAAAATTATATTCATAAATATTTTCAACGATAAAAATAAATGCAAAAAAACCCACATACGTAAAAAAATAAAAGATAAAAATATAAAAAAAATCATCCAGATGTACAAATCGCCATTGACGCAAATCACGGGGCACAAATAAATTTCATGGCGATTTTTTTTATCAAATTTTTTTTAGTTATATAGGTGATTGATTCTTTTTGTTTATACTCTGTTTTATATACAAAAAGTTTTTTAGATAGATACCATGCAATCAAGAAAACTATCAATAAATTTTAATTATTGTAAATGATTAGATAATTAAATTGGATACTTAACTTCAAATAATACAATAAGCCCAAAGAGACGTGAAAAATCGGTCATTTTCGGAACCCCAAAAACGGAAATTCGATCGAGATCTGTAATGCAGTAGATGATTGAATAATAAAACTTCCATTTTGAAGTGAAGCGACACTTTCTTTTTGGTTTCATTTCGATCAGCATTCTATTCAACGATTATTGTAAATACAAAACTTCCATTTTTATGGCGTGCCATAGTCAACGACAAAATCGTTATAATGAAAATTAATAAATTATTCGTACATTATTTGACTCCTTACATGTGTTGTAATAATTTGCGTAATAATACATTATCTGATATAGATAGTATGACGAGAAATCTTCCGAAAATAAGGATAATAATTTTCTCCTTAAAGTTCTTATTTTCTTATTTCTCATTCTAAGTTCAGTCTAAGTTCTTATTATATCCACTTTATTCAAACTGATGGGACAATAGACAAGGAAATGATCGAAATTATTCAGAAATAAGAACCGGTTGATATATATATTGTGGAATCGAAAAAAGGAAAAAACTAATCAAATGATTTCGTTTTCGTGGTGACTACATGTGAAGTAAGTAATAATGTGAAAATTTGCGCTAATGCGTTTTTATTTTATTTCTTGTAATGCAGACGATTTCATGGGTAAGAAGTAATGAAAATATTAATATTAATGGTATGCAAAAAATGTAATATTAATCGAGAAAGTTTAAATTACATAAAATTAACATATTTATAGAACTGTATATTATACGATAATCACTTTGGCGCATCGAATTTGGATATCAGCATACATTTTTTACTTTCGAGTTTCAGATATCACGAAAGAACAAGCATAATGTTGACAATTTTTTTATTAGATAATTTAGATAATGGAATACATAGCTCATTTGAAATTTATAACATAAAATAAGAATAGAAAAAATCAAAAAAAAATTCTTAAAATTTTAATACATTACGGAAAGATAACAGCACCTTTTCTGAAAAAAACATTTGGATCATATTTTCTTTTCAATTCTTTTAATCTTTCAAAGTTTTCACCCCACACATTTTTCAATTTCTTTTCATCATACTCTTCATAATCCGAAGTATCCACAAAATTAACATAAAGAGTTTCATCCCCATCCTTACTCAAAATATTTTGTATTGATTTGGCCCAATTATAAACAATTTTGTCATCATGTTCATTTTTCCATCTTTGAATTATAACTACGTTATAAACTTGTTTACGAGGATGAAATGCCGTAGAATCAGGTGGTATTGCAGCAAATTTCTCCGCACTATGTAAATCAAACACAATATCTGTTTGAGAGGTTTCCGGATTTTCATTAGTAAATTTAATATAAGAATCATAGACTTTACGAATGCTTGAGATGTTTAAACAATTAATTTGTGCGTTAAGCATTGCTTTACGATCTCCGTAGTCGTTGGTTTGGCTTACCAACATATTTAATTCGGGATATGACATACGTTCTACTTTTTCAATTATTGGTTCACCACATTTATAAATAAGTGAAAATTTTTCTCGAAAAACTTGTTCTGATGGATCATTAGAAAATAACAAAGCCCCGATAGTTGGCTGAAAGAAATCAAAAAAATCAATGTCATCATTTAACAGATTGAGTATAAGCTAGGATATGATGTAAATACCTTATTTTCTGGAGGAAATCTATTAAAGAGGAAGGAAGCATTTTCATCAACCCCGCGAACTTTAAGCCATAAATTAAAGGCTTCAACAAGAGAATCTAATTTTTCAGCAGGAAATAATAATAAACCGGTAAAAACTTCTTTTTGTTCATGCGCTTTAAAAATGAATTCGTAAACAACTCCGAAATTGATTCCACATCCTCTAATAGCCCAAAATAAATCTTCGTTCTTGTTGGCTGATAATTCTCTAACTTCTCCATCTGCAGTAACTATTGTGGCCCCCATAATATTATCAATTGTTAATCCATGTTTACTTGTTAGGTGCCCAAAACCACCTCCTAATGATAATCCGCCAATTCCTGTATGATGAACTAAACCTCCTACAGTGGCTAACCCATGTTTCCAAGCTTCACTATCAACTTCACCGAATAATGCACCTCCTTGAGCATAAATTAATTTTTTTTCGGCATCAACTCTTACTTTATTTAATTTTCTCATATCTAAAACTATTCCTCCTTCAGAACTTGAACTACCGGAAGTTGAATGTCCTCCACAACATGTAGCGAAGTCCAAATTATTTTTATTGGCAAAATTAACAGTTTTAACGATATCTTCGAGGCAAGTCGCTTGAACAACAATACCTGCTTTTTTAATTGCGTTGTCAGCCCATCTTAATATACTCTTTTCATAACCTTCATCACCTTCTGTTAATACTTTAGTATTAATATTGAACGATTCTTTAAATTTTTGAACATCGTTGGGATCGATATCCTTTATCAATTTTTTTGGTTGATAATTCATGATCGAAGATTTTAATATGAATTTTTTTAATCGAATTTAGGATTATTTATAATAATCTCGTATTTTTGATTTGATTATCTGTTAAATTTGTTTCCTTCTTATTTTCATTGAATGAATGAATTGTACTGTTTTACATATTTTAAAGGAAAATAAATTCCTATTTATGTTCAATTATAATATGAATAATATCAACAATTGAAGAAATGCAGACCATTATAAAGGTTACGTCTCATTCATCTCATTCTTAAAATCATTTTATCGCAATGTTTATTTTTTAGTGTGACAAGGTCTGGGGTGACAAATTGTAGAATGATTATTAATTATATTTACTAAATTCAGTTACGCAGGGAATTGGGGATCCAGGATGTCCGTCCGTCACGTGACGATATACTGTACAACTTAAATAGTTACTAAATATTATTAGATCATTGGCAAATGACGACTAGTAACTTTTTACATTCGGGTTCTTGGGAAACCCATAGAGATCGAATTTGGTTCGATAATATAGAGTTATTTCATAATTTTTTTATAACCTTATAGGTAAAAATTTCAATACTAGATGTATTTTTATGTACGTGTTATAGTGTGTTTTTTTATTCTCCCCTTGGCGGGTGAGTCCCCGTGAGTGATCTTGGATTCCTCTCGTCTCTCGTTTCGAAAAGGTCAGAAATCATCGTCTCCTTTGGGTTGCGGTTTGGTTGTAAGTGTTAGAATTATTTTCGACTCAATGTATATTTTGTCCGTATAATTTGTACTACAACTTGGTTTTTCTGCGTCATAAAAATAAAAATAAAATAGATCATTGGCAAATTACATTCTCTAATAGGGCACGAACTAAGATAATCAAAGTGTAAACCTAATCATTATTCTAACGGATATCCATTTTTAAAATTAATTTAAGGGAAAATTCTATTATACTACGTTATTCGTAAAGGCAAAAAAATATGATGAGTTTATAAATAAAAAGAGTTTTATATGATTATGCTAAAGAGATACCACATTGCAAAATTTTAAAGAATAAGCCACTTTTAAAATTAAATTAAGCTGTGTCTTATGCTCATTATTAGGAAAATGCTATTAGGCTATATTTTTCGTAAAGGCAAAAAATATGATATGCTTGTAAATAAAAAAGTTTTATATGATTATGCTAAAGAGGGGGTCCATGTTGCAAAAATTTTAAATAACAAGCCAATACAACTGATAATATGCTGGGTTTGCATTCTTATTTATAAATAAACTATTCGAATCCGATATTGCATGCGCATAAATAAGATAACCAATTTACTTTCCCTACTTCTTATAAAGAATCCCTTTTCACGATGACTAAAAGATTCACTTCTTCTTTCTTATTTGCCTGCATTTTTTTTGTTCTTTGTTCCTTTGTTTTGGGAAGACCAAAAGATATTATACCCGAGCTCACAGATACTTTTAAAGCTAACCTTGCTGCAACAACACTTTATGGAAAAATTTTTCTTCTCGATAAAGATCAACAACCTTGTGTGAAGTATAAGCCCAATGTAGATTGGCCTATGAAAACAACTGTAAAACTCATTCGAAATGGTACTATTGTGGATGAATATAAATATAAAAATGTAAAAGACAAGAAATTTATTGTTTTAAAAGACAATTTATCAAACATAATTATCAGTTTAATACTCAATCTCTGCTAACAAAGGTATGAAAATAGCGGAAGGGAATGTATCTTTGTGTACTAAATGTTATTTTTAGTATATAATTACTTCTTATATATATACTTTATTATAATTATTTTATTTTGTATTTATTATTGTTTTTAGTATAGGGATTTTTGAGATTAATAAAGAGAAAATTTAACGTTTAATAAAAATAAAAATACAATAATCATGAATCGTATAAAATCATATACCAGTTAAATTAAAAAACTTAAAGTATATTCAATAATGCATAGGTTAATTTTTCCATGCAAAAGTTTCTATCCACATAATTAGTTGTTCGTTTGACATAATTATACAATTGCTCATTTTTTTTTAAAAAAAGCGAATGACATAGATGCGCATAAATCATTGGGAAACTTGCTGTGCAAAATACTTATCTGTAACATGGCCAAATTGCAAATTTAATTGAAGTTAATAAATGTGATTCATGTCGTTAGCCGTTAAGTGCTTTTGAAATTAGAGAAAACTCTTCTACCTTTTTTATTATCAATTTAGGAACTTTATTTATACATATTAAAGGAATTTTTACTAAATTTATCGTCAGCTAAACTGATGTTTTTAATTTATTTGTTTTTAGATCAAATACATTTTTTTTATTTCTGTAACTTACACAGAAGATTAAATAAAATTTTGAAATATCTGCAAAAAATGATACTTTGTTTTAATTGTTTGAATTGTTTGAGGACGATTTATTCCAAAATATATTACAAAACTTTTAAAACTTTTGAAAAATGCTTGTCCAATAAAAGATTGCAACACTCTCATGACTTTTGTATATCTTGTTATGACAAATTATCAATTGATAAAGATAATCTTGAAAAAAACACATTATTGAAAAAAATCGTGAACTTTATATGGAATTCGATTTCGGATTTGAATTTCATAACGCCAGAAAGATTTTTTTATAATCTGAAAATTACAATTAATATTGGCAAACTTGACCTAGAAATGAAGCCAGATTTAGAAAATGAATACTTGAAATTAGAAAATCATAAAAATTTTTTTAAAATTAAATGATTACGTCAACAAATTCAATACCGTTTACTTATCCGCGTCACAAAAAAAAAAAAAACAAACGCTTAAATAATAATAATTAAATTTATAAATTTGACAAATTAAGATATTAATAATTAAATCAACTAGTTAACTATTAAAAACAATAGTAATACGTATTAATATAAATTTTGTCAGTTTTACATGAATTTCGATAATTTTTTAATTTTATCACATGATATAATAACTTTTAATTATAGTATAAAATTTTATTAAAGTAGAATTCTTGTGTTTAAGTATAAAATTCAATGATAAAATATGTTGTCAGTTATCCACAAATAAAAGTAATCAGATCATATTGATTTCTTTAGAAAACTTTTTATTTTTATTTTTATTGCTCAAAATGAACCAGCAAAAGAGGAAAAAAATATATACATATGATCATACTATCCTATAACCAAGATGCAACAACACCTCTAGCAACTAAACTAATTTATGCAAAGTATCTAATATTTCCACTAAGTTCTCGGATCGTAACTCTTTATGGGAATTTCTTTAGAATACTTTGACAACCTTTTAATTAATCACGTGATCATGATTTGCTGAAATAATATGCGCAGTTAAAAAATAAATAATGCAAGACATAGATCATTTGTGGCAGGTGCTCCTGTTTCAGATGAAGCGCCGGATTGCAGGTTAACTGCAGCAGCTGTAGCAAATTTTGCAGCCGATCATTTTTTAAGCTTTTTACACTTTTTATCACATCAATTAGCTTTCAATAATCGCAAAAAATTGTTACATGTAAAAATATTTTTTTTATTCTTTTTATAAAGTGGAATAAAGTCAATTTATAGTTTAAATTTTTAAATTTTATTTTATTTTTTTAATTTCGCGGATTCACTATGGAGGCCACTTAGGTGAAAGTTAGAAGTTCTTAAAAAAATGCATAATTTAAATAAAGCCTTCAAAGATTGCTTAGGTAGAAATGCTGAATTGTTCATGGAGAGAGCAGAAATTTTCAGTAAAATTAAAAATTTATTTTACCATTGAAAAATTCTATGTTGAATCTGTCAAATTACATTAAGGTGATCAATAAATAGCAGCCGTGAAATTAATGATATTCATGGATTCCCATGAAATAACTGTTTTATCCCCTGGAGACTAACGTCCCGTGATAAAAATAGTTTAATATAAAGCTTATAAGAAAGCTTATTGTATTTTTATTATAAAAAATCTATTTTATTTAAAAAGTGTGTCGTGTCTAAACTTACTCTTAAAATTTAAAAATCTAAAATAAACTGCATTTCATGTTAATATTTTTCATTATTAAATATCACTATGAAAAATTACGTCGTTAATACACTTTAAATTATATAATTATTTCTAAACACATTAAGATTTGTATATACCAAATCATTTTTTTCAATAGTAAAAATTATATTAAAAAAACTTTCGTAGTTACTTTTCGCATATTTTTTTTCGCAAAAGACAATGATATTGATACAATTATACGACGAATTAACAGTTAATAAAATTTTTTTTTAATATTTATATATACAGTATATATAATATATATATATTAATCTTTATAACTCCTGTCCAAAAACGAGAAACGAAAAAGTAATTTGTTATTTTCATTTTTTTTTTTTGATTATGCTCTTCATGTTCCATAATTTTATAAATACAAATAAAGGGTATGCATTTTATATGGATATCTGGCTCTTTATTGATTTGATTTTTTTTAATCAAGAATACTTAAATTAGTCAAATATACATTTACTGTATACAAAGTAAATGGTGACAATTTTTCAGGACCCCGAGCTATATATATAGAGGTAAAGGTACAGCCAAAAAAAATTACTATTAGCTCTACGCACTTTTTCAGGGCCGGAATTACAATAATGCCAGTCAGTGTCTAAAAAAGGAAATAAAATCCGGCCGGAATTATCTATAAAAGGAAAGATCTACATAATTATTTTTGTCAATTCTACGCAAACCCTTACCATACCTTTTTATGTATAGCTCGGGGTCCTAATTTTCAATGATTAATTTGTCAACGATCATATTGCCGACAACTACTTCACCCGTTCACTGATATGTTCATTTCATCAATGATAATTTCAAAGAACTGTAACCCTGACGGAGAAGTGATTGTCATGACACACTGGTGAATTGAACCCGTGATATATTATGTATGTGATAAAAATTTTAGTGCAACTGGCGCAATTAGGCGCACCTGCAGCAAACACTGTTAAACAATACGGTTATTGTATCATCGATGAAGAATAAAATACATCTGATTTTTTATTTTCACGTATATCTGATATTTTCTTTTTAAATTTTATACTGTAATTCATTTTCTGACAATAACAATAAGTTAAAGGCAAAATGGATGAAATTGGTAACCATAATTTCTTTTAATATTTTTATTAATAAACTGTTAAGTTTAAATGCAACAATAGAAATAGATACTTAATATTTTATTTTAATAATAAAACTTTTATTCTAAAATTAAATATCTGTAGAGAGTAAGTTATTTAATTTTTATTGTATTATTTATGTTGTTTACATATAACTTAACTAACTTTTTATCTAAAAATATTTGATGATATTACAGTTGGTAAGTTATTTAATATTTATTGTATTATTTATGTTATTTACATGTAACTTAACTAACTTTTTATCTAAAATTAAATATCTGTAGAGAGTAGGTTATTTAATTTTTATTGTATAATTTATGTTGTTTACATGTAACTTAACTAACTTTTTATCTAAAATTAAATATCTGTAGAGAGTAAGTTATTTAATTTCTATTGTATTATTTATGTTGTTTACATGTAACTTAACTAACTTTTTATCTAAAAATATTTGATGATATTACAGTTAGTAAGTTATTTAATTTTTATAGTATTATTTACAGTATGTTGTTTACATGTAATTTAACTAACTTTTTATCTAAAAATATTTGATGATATTACAGTTGGTAAGTTATTTAATTTTTATAGTATTATTTACAATATGTTGTTTACATGTAACTTAACTAACTTTTTATCTAAAAATATTTGATGATATTACAGCTGGTAAGTTATTTAATTTTTTTTGTATTATTTATAGTATGTTGTTTACATGTAATTTAACTAACTTTTTATCTAAAAATATTTGATGATATTACAGCTAGTAAGTTATTTGGTTTTTATTGTATTATTTACAGTATGTTGTTTATGTATAACTTAACTAACTTTTTATCTAAAATTAAATATCTGTAGTTTGTAAGTTATTTAATTTCTATTATATTATGTTGTTTACATGTAATTTAACTAACTTTTTATCTAAAAATATTTGATGATATTACAGCTAGTAAGTTATTTGATTTTTATTGTATTATTTACAGTATGTTGTTTACATGTAACTTAACTAACTTTTTATCTAAAATTAAATATCTGTAGTTTGTAAGTTATTTAATTTTTATTGTATTATTTATGTTGTTAAATATAACTAACTAACTTTTTATCAAAAAACATTTGATGGTATTACAGTGGGTAAGTAATTTAATTTCTATTGTATTATTTATATTGTTTACATATAATTTAACTAACTTTTTAAATATCTGTAGATCGTAAGTAATTTAATTTCTATTGTATTACAGTATTTATGTTGTTTACATGTAACTTAACTAACTTTTTATCTAAAATTAAATATCTGTAGATAGTAAGTTATTTAATTTCTATTATATTATTTATGTTGTTTACATGTAATTTAACTAACTTTTTATCTAAAATTAAATATCTGTAGAGTGTAAGTAATTTAATTTCTATTGTATTATTTATGTTGTTAAATATAACTAACTTTTTATCTAAAATTAAATATCTGTAGATCGTAAGTAATTTAATTTCTATTGTATTATTTATATTGTTTACATATAATTTAACTAACTTTTTATCTAAAATTAAATATCTGTAGATCGTAAGTAATTTAATTTCTATTGTATTATTTATATTGTTTACATATAATTTAACTAACTTTTTATCTAAAATCAAATATCTGTAGAGTGTAAGTTATTTAATTCTTGTTGTACTATTTATGATATTTATATATAATAGTTTAAACTAATTTTTATAAAAAAATATTTAATGATATTACAGTTAGTAGGTTATTTAATTTCTATTGTATTATTTGTGTTTATTTACATTTAATAGTTTAAATTTAACTAACTTTTATAAAATAATATTTGATAATATTACAGTTGGTAAGTTATTTAACTTTTAGTATATTATTTATGTTGTTTACTTGCAATAATTTAAATTTAACTAGATAATTTCTATTGAATATTTGTAATTCTCTAAATTTAATTAAATTACAATTGCTTAATTTTTGCTTTAAAAGATTTAACTGTAATGAAATCTTTAGAAGAAAAGAATTCAAAATGGCATATTTCTATTAGTTCAGATGGAAAGTATTTTCTTACAATTAATCATGGTAAATATATATTTATTATATTACTTTTATTATAATTCAAATATATTTTTACAAAATAATTTTATTTTTTTCTTATATTATTAAAGAAACTCATGAGTTTAATATTTATGATAAGATTAATAGTGATAAACCAATCAATTCCTATAATTTTAAAGAGGATTTTAAAAATAATCAAGAATTACAATCTACAGAATATGCTATTCCAAAATGGATGTTAGCTATATCAAATTGCATTGATCAAAAATTTGTTTTTGTGGCAATATCTTGTGTAACAAAATTTGATATGTTAACTGAGAAAAGTGAGAAAATTGAAACAGAAAATTTAAATAATTTATTAAAAGAAGATAATTTATTAAATAGTGCAGAATCTTTTGCAATTGGAATTGGAGATACAAATAAAGATCAAGAAAAAGAAGGGCAAAAAAATAATATAAGTAAAAAATCAGGAATTACTATTATTTATAAAGTAACTTTAAATGATGGTAAAGTTCATAGGAATCCTATACATTATAATACTAGTGGAGTTGTTACTTTTATCCATAAAGAATCCACTTCTAATAAGATATTGAATTGTTTTATTTTTAATGCTAATGGAATTTATAAATTTACATGTGAAAATAATTCAAAAGATGATTTAAAGCATTTTAACTATCCAAGAAGATTTATGATTGAATTAAATACTTTATATAAGACAAAACCTTGTACATCACAATTAATAAATTGTGTCTTTGATCATTATTTTTATACAGTACAATACAAAGAAGGAATTCAAGTTATGCAATTATATGACTTAAAAACTATGCAAATACAACAAAATTTTAATATGCATGAAGAATATTCAAATATATATGGCAAACCAATATTAGCTATTTCAAAAAATAGGCAAATGATTGCTTTTTCTTCTGGATATAGAAAATTAACCCTTTATCTTATAGAAAATGGTTTAGAAATTGCTAGTAATGATTTTGGAAAAAATGTTAAAATAATTGATTGTCAATTTGAAAATAGTGATTCATTAATGATAATTATTAAAAAGTCCCAGAAAGAATATGGAGAAATGCTATTTTGGAATTTATATGATTCTTCTACAAATAGATTTCATTATTACAATAAATTAAAAATTGATGATAAGTTTACCTTACATATTGCAAGAATTCCTGATAAATTAGTATTAGTAAGAAATAATGGTTCCATATTATCAGTATATGATCATATACTTAAGAAAGAAAAGAAGAAGTCAAATAATTTAAATCATTATAAAATGCCAAATGAAATGAATGAATTTAAATATGAAGATCATAAAGATAACCAAAATATTTCAAAAGCTGAACAGCCTTTTGGACATAATAAAGAACCATGGATAAATGATAACTTTAAAAGAAAATTAGTATATCTTAATAATGATAAATCATTACAGTTATATATTGGAAAAAGTACCATTCAAGTATGGCGTAAGAAAAAAGAATATTTAACACTTGAATATATTTGGGCTCATAACGTTGAAGAAGAATCTAAAGATAATGCATTGGAAGAATTAGATTTAAGAGTTTCTAATAATAATGGTTTTTATCTTAAAGTTAAATGGAATGAATTTATTAAGGAAATTCAATGGCCATATGATAATAATGCTATTCCAACAATACATGCTTGTAATACTCTTGAATATTTACATTATCAACGGAATAAATTAGTTGGTGACAATAATCAGTGTGGTAAGTGTTTTTTTTATATATTTTGTTATTTTGTATTTAATTATTTTTATTAAAAAATTCTATTTTTTATAATATAGTATTTGAAGAAATTAAGTATAATATTTCTTTTATTATCTGGAAATTTATCAAAAATTATCCTGATATTTGGAGATTAATGGATATCCGATATAACCTAATGGCAAAAATTATAATTGGAGGCTCAAATGCTCTTGTTAAATATATTTTATTTGGTGATGAAAAAGTAAAACACAAAAATTTGCATATACCAAGAATAACTCGATGGATTGATGAAGAATTTAATGAAATTAGTAAAGAATCTAATGATAATAGTGAATCAAATAAATCTAATAGCAATATTATTGATATTTGTAAATTAAGTGATTTAGAAATTGCAATTAATTTGTGTATATCAGGTAATTATTATTTCTAAAAATCTTAAAATTTGATATTTGATTAATAAATATTTTTTATAGATCTTGAACGAAATCGTAGAATTTTAATTGTAACTTATTTACTTGAATATTATGCAAAAAATGCAACTAAACATCTTGGATGGTTAATTACTATTTCAAAAGCATTACCATCTTTATATTCTTATAAATTAGGTTTGTAATTTCATTTTTACAGTTATTATTAATTATAATCTGTTTTTAATATTTTTAAAAATTTCTTTTATAAATAGAATATTATGTAAAAGAATTATTTTATAAAAAATGTATGGAAGGTATAGAAATATCTAATATTATTGAATATAGTGATATTATACCTAAAAAAATTCAAGATACTTTAAATGATAACCAAAAGTTTCAAGCATTTAATCCTATTTCAGAACTTATTTTAAAAAGAAATGAAAAGCGAAAATTCCAAGCATTTAATTCTATCTCAAAATTTATTTTGTTAAAAATATTTAAGATAAAAAGTATTTCAAGTAATTATTCTCCAACCGTGAAAATGATTCCTTTACATAATTTTACAACTAGCAAAATACCTCAAAAAGAAAAAAAAGGTTGGCTTAATAAATATATCTTTACAATTAAACTATTTCAATTATTATTTATTCCACATAGTTATTTGGTTAGCTATTCAAATGATGCAAAAAATCTCTCACAACTTAGTCCACTTGTTCAAATTATTAGATTAGATAATAGCGATGATATATTTAATAATCCAGTAATGGAAGCTGCAATTAACTATAAATGGCCTTCAGCAAGAAATTATTTTCTCAGACTCTTTTTTATATATATTCTATTTGCAATTTGCTTTGCAGTTATTTGTGGAACTTATACAGCACACCTTGAAGCAACAGGACATCTCTGCAATTTCCTATTATTTCTTATTATCATTTTTTATTATTTAGGATGCTATTTATTAGTTGTAGAATTGATGCAGATAAGACATCGTGGTTTGAGGCATTATCTTGATTTTTTTAACTTTGTAGATTTAACTTCAGCTATTGTAGCTATAGTTGTAATGTCAGTTTATATTGCTCCTTCATTTAGTACTGAAAATACATTTGCTAATGTTGTAACAACTAAAGAAACAGCTGTTGCAATTTCTTTTACAATGTTATTACTTTGGTTTGAATTTGTATGTACTGTATTTTTATATTTTTTTACTAAAACATTTTGATTAAAATAAACTAACTTTTTTATATGTAAATCTTTCGATTCAGATTTTATATCTTCGGTTATTTAAAGGTAATACTATAAAATATAAAAATAATATAAAATATTAAATTATTAAGTTTAAATATATTAATTTATATTAATTTATTTAGAACCAGCAAAATATATTTATATTATATTAAATATTATTAAAAGTACATGGGTATTTCTTGTTTTCATGTTTCTTGTAATAGTTGGATTAGCACATACCTTTTTACTATTATTGCAATATCCTGATTTTATAAATCTTTCTGAGAACTCATCAAATGAAACAATAGATAACCCAGCCAAAGAATTTATTACCTCATTCCTTTCAACATATGGATGGTTAAGTGGTACTTTTTTACAACAAGATACATGGAACTTTTGGGCAGTTAAACTCATAACTCTTATTGCTAGTATTTTCTTAGTAACTATTTTACAAAATATGTTCATTGCTTTTATGGGGTAAGTTTCTTTTTTTTCTTTTTAAATTCTGCAATATATCAATTACTTTTATTCCTTTAATAAATTAATGATTTTATTAGGGGTGTGTACTCTGAAGCATATGAAAAAGGTCGTGCTGCATTATTGAGATTTCGTGCAGAATTAATTTCAGATTATGAAGCATTAGATGATATACATTTTTATACACTACCACCAGAACCAAAATATATTTATTATATAGGTAAATCAGAAAGTTGTGAAGAATGGGAAACAAATGTTAAAAAGCGTCAAACTAACAAAGAAAAATTATATGATGATTATGAAAAGAAAATGAGTGAAAGAAAATTAACATATAAAGAGAATGATGATGATAATAAAGATCATAATAAAGATGACGATAATAAAGATCATAATAAAGATGATGATAATAAAGATGATAAAGATGATGATGATGATGATGATGATGATGGTGATGATGATTATGAAAGTGAAGATGAAGATGAAGATGTTATAGACAAGGTTAAGTCACTTAGTAATAAAGTTAAAGAAGAATTTAAATTTCTTAAGAAAGAAATAGAAGAGGTTAAATCACTTAAGGAAGATATTAAATCACTTAATAGTAAGATTGATCAATTGTTAAATAATAAGAATACAAATTGATCATTAACTTTAGATTGAATTTTGAATAGTATTTAAATATGAACTTTTTTTTATCAACCTTATAAATACCATAAATATATCTTTTATTTTATAAATAAAAAAAACATTTATATATATATAACATAAGAATTGATTCATGGGTATCTTAATGATTTTTTTTTGACACATGTTACTAGTACTATTAACTAAACTATTCATATTGATAATAGATGGATTCAATAGTTAAGGCATTTTAATGCTTTAATTAAGTTGACATTCTAACACATTGTACATTTGCTTAAGTTTCAAATGTATCCAATATTAAACTATTAAATTACTAAATCCTTTTTTTATTTCCAATTTAGATAAGATTTAACTATGATAAAGAACTTGATTATATCAAAATTCTTCGTTATAAGATGATTATGTTACTTAAGTATCCTTTATCCTGTATTCCTACGTTTTGGAAAAAGGGAGAATCTAATCTTTAAAATGATTTTTATCTACTAGAATTATATTTTCAAATTAAAATTGGTATCAGTTTATTTTTATATTTATATAAACAACAAAACTTTTTGTAATTTAACTTTTTTTTAAAAAAAAGATTATAGTAAATTTTATTAAAATTTTGTCATCTAATTACAAAAACAACAAAAGATTGGATAGTGATAGAGTATTAATTTTGTTTCAAGTTATATATATATTTTTTTTGGTATGAAAGTTCATTTTTTTTAACATTGCAAAAAAGAGATAATAATAAAGACTGAATTTATATTGAAAAATACGATTTCTGACAACTTCATCGATTTTTTTGTAAATTATTTCTAAATTTTCATCTGATGATTAATTTTTTAAAAATTTATCAAAGATAAAAATATTTTTTTACATTAAATTTGAATAAAGTTATATAAATCTTAACGATTTAGGGTTGACCCTAATAAATAAATCAAAAACATCAATGAAAAAATAACACTTCTATCATTCTTTTTTTTTTGAGATCTTTGAATTTTTAGTATATATTATTGATACTTATTTATTATTTAATATCCATAGAAAATCAAGAGAAAAAAAAAGATGAGTTAAAGCAACAAAGTGAATATTAGTTTTTTTCTTATATTGATAAAATAGACATAACGTAGTAATTAAAAGAATTTAAAATAATCAGATTATCCATTTTATTATTATAAAAACTCTCTTTCATTATATAAAAATTATGATAGATTTATATCTCAATTATTTATTTTTTTTAATTGCGTCAATAAAAATTTATTGCACACCCTAATAAATATATTATATTTTATATATTTTATCTTTTAGGAACCTAAATTATTTATAGTTTTTATGTTTGTGTTAATAGATACTTTTCAAGGAATAAAGTAGAAAAATAAAAATATCTCAAAGTGAATGAGTAAGTTTGGAAAAATTAAAGTATAAAATAACAAATCCAAATAAGGAAATACTCAGTATAATAAGCCACGTATGTTTCTGAACCCCTATAAAAAAATATTATCCATTATTTCTGTAAAAACTCCGTAAAAATGAGCCTTTCACGGATCTATTCATGGAAAATGTAAATAAATCGATAAATTCCGTGATAAGGTTACTAATTCCCTTTTACGGAAAAAAAGAATATAAAAAACGGATCTAAAATCATAATTCTGGTGTTAACAAATATTAAAATAAATTGAGAATCTAAAATACTTTTTTAAGATGGATATGGAAAGAAATATATTAGCTAACGGCTTAATTTCATAGGAGAATAATTAGCTCAGTTATATACTTATATCAATATTTCTCTAGGTATCTTTCTCTACTAACTATAATAATTTCTTTGAAACAGTGTAGTATTTTCTGAATAAGGTGTAAGGACACTAAATTTTTTCAAGATGGATGTGTAAAATATACGATATTATAATGCTAAACTTTAAAATCTATGTAGTAATAATGTTCGATATGTGAATATGTTGTATATATGTAACATTGATGTTGGTCACGTGATCATCGATCGTGGTTATTTTCTCACTATAATTAATTATACTATAGGGTTTATTTTAAGCACTGATTACTTCACCAAAATAAAAAAATGGTTTTTTTTAAAAAAAAATAAAAAAACAACAATTAGCGCGTATAAATAAAAGTTATAGATAGTCCTTAAATTGTCAGTTACTGTATACTAACATTTTATTAATTATCGTCTTGATTTGTTTTTATGGAAATGAAAGTCACTATAACTATTCCTACAATCTTACTAAACTCTTGATTGTTAACTTGAAAAAATCAATGCCAGTATCGTTAAGTCAACAATCATTTTATTAATTAAAATAAAATGATCACAATATAGGCCATTACCATATATACTATCCTATAATAGTTGATGATATAAGCAAGGCTAACAGCAAAATTTCTTATAATAATGCACATACTAGTTCCATAGTTTATTTAAAGAACTTTTTTTTAATACTTCACAATAAAATCTCAAATACTTTCATTCAATAAAATATTCATGTAGTAATTAAGTAATATTTTTTCACAATCAATATTTTGATGACAAATGATTCTATTTACCAATAGTTTTTTTTGGCTGAAGGTCAATAAGAATATAAGATGACTTTTTTCACATTATTTTCACCCTTCAATTCTTCATTTTACCTTATATTCATCTAAAACTAGGAGCTAAATCTCATATAATTTCCTTTTATAAGGTTCTATTTGAATTAAATTTCTTATAATATCAAAGACTATAAAATGAAATTCAGTTTAAAAATTATTTAATAATAATTTATAAACAAAGAATATAAAAAGAAAATTTTGATTTTTTTTTTTCAAACATTACCTTTTTCATATTTAATATTTATTTTTTTTTCTTTAGAATGGATCTGTTCACAACATGTTAAAATTTTGGTTAATTGTTTAGCCTTTTCATCACTTTTAGTTTTTTCATCTTTTTTTGGTTTTGGTTTAATAAAAAAAATATTTTTACCCAAGGAACATTCTAAAAGTGTTACACCTAAAGCCCAATAATCATGAAAATGATTATATGGAATATTATTTAATGATTCAGGTGACACTATATATATATATATAAATTACAATATTAATTAATTTTATATTTTAATCATTTATTGATTATTAATAATCAACTTACTATATGATCTAGTTCCACTATATCCAAATTTATTGCCTTCTTCATAAACTTTTGTCATTCCAAAATCTGCTAATACTACTTTAAATGGATTAGTTTCAGATACTAAAATATTGGCTGGTTTAATATCTCTATGAATTAATCCTTTTTGATGCATTTCCTAAAATATTTAAAATGGGTTTAAATAATAATAGATAAAATAAAATAAGAAAAAATTTAAAAATTATTATTTACTACCTTTAAAGTAGTGCTCATAATACTAGCTATTGCAAGCAATTCCTTATCTGAGAAATTGTATTTACTTAGTATATAATTTCTTAAGGATCCATGTTTAATACTAAATAATAAATAAATTTAATAAGATAAATATTAAATAATATATAATAATAACAAAATAAATTATTACCAATCAGTAACAATAAACTGCTGTTTATTAGTTGTATAATAGAAACCATCAATTAACTTGGTTGTATATTTCTAAAATAAAAAAAATAATAAATTAATATAATTAATATTCAAATTATAAATTATTTTTAATAAACTTACAATATCTTGAACTAAATTCATCATAAGAAATTCATTATATAAAGAACGATTCCAAGTAAACTTTACTGCACATTGTTTACCTGTATTCTTATTTTCCATAAGATAAACAATTCCATAACCTCCTCTATAATATTAATAAAAAAAAAGTGAGTAACTAATAGCAAATAAAAACGATGAATTGACTAGCTAATTTTATCGAGTGCTAAAAATAAATTTATACATACTTTCCAAGTTGTCTAATAAATTTATAACCATGATTTATACATGGTAAATCTGACATAATGTTTGTAATAGTATAGTGATTTTAAATTAAAAATAGATTAAAAAAAATTAACAGTTAATATACAAGAAATTATTACTTACTATTAGATGATTCAGCAGATGGTCCTTGTTTATCATCAAGAGACATTTGACCTGGTGGTATATTTATATCAAAATTCTATATGAAATGAGTAGATTAGAATATACCATGTATTAAACTATTTATACAAATAAAAATACCTTAACACTTCCACAATGACATTGCCAAAAAATTAATTGAACTAGAATTTACACATAATTATTAAAATTATATAAATCATTATGAAGTAATACGATTTAAAATACTTACATTTCAATATAAATTCTTTATTTTCATCAGATAAAGAAACTTCAATTTGGTCAAATTCGTCAAGTAAACAGCTTTCCCCGAACTCAAGTAAGTCAGATGCAACAAGATTATGAATAATTCTTAAATTTACACTAAAACATTTATTAAGATTTTAGCAAATAGTACAAACTATCTATTTAATTAAATAGAAACTTGATTTACCATAATCTTGTTGCTTGAATACCAAACTCATTCTATTTATACAATGCAATGTAAATTATTTACTTATATTATAAAATATTTAACTTTAAACGAATTGTCTTACCTTTGAAATTGCAAAAGAATACTCTTCATCACTTAAAATATTATTATACTAAAAGTATCGAAAATTTAATTAGTATATACTGTATTATCTTTTGATTTACTGGTAAGAATCTATTAAAAAATGTTATTATAACTTACATAACCACAAGTATCATTTTTTCCGAATATGTTATATGAAAAAAATAAATATATTGTGCCAGCATCTTTGGCAGTTGAATTATCTATTGGAACAAGAATAGCCCAGGGATCATTTCCATAATTATCACTGACAATAGTTTTGGTAGCTTTTATTTTTTCTAATTTGTCTCCAAATTTAGTATCAGAAGAAGAACAAAACTTTTTTTTATACTCCATTTTAAAAAATTAATTTAAAACAAAATCAGAAATATATTTAAGACATATAAAATTTAAAATCAGGTGAAAATCATTTCAATCACATGTTAACAGGGGCATCATGATGTATGATGCTTTGGACATAATGTTGGTTGATGTCTACAATTGATCATAATCATGAATCATTGAATCATGATGTTGAGACATTATGAATAGGTACAGACATCATGTTGGATAACGCCTGTCGGGTATATGTAGGATGATGTTTGTGGCTACCAAATATGGTAAATTTTTATTTATGGTAAGATTTTGTAAAATTTTTATAAGAAAAAAATAAAATTGATCCAGAAAATTATTAAATTTAATAGAAAATTAAAAATTATCCCAAAAAATCGGTAAATTTACCATAAATAAAAACTCACTACAGTATAAATGGTAATTATGATTAGCATGATGTCCGGGCATCATGCTGGTTGATGTCTTTAACATCATGTTAAATGATGTTTAATGATGTCTAAACATCAACTTTCATATATCCTATATGATGTCCAAGCATCAGCCGGCATGATGTCCAAGCATCAGCCGGCATGATGTCCGAGCATCAACCTTTAGCTTGCAATACATTTCCTTGTCTAATCCATTAAGAACTTGGAATGAGAAATAAGAGAATATGAACTTTAGGGGAATTATTTTTTCTGTTTTTTTTTCTGGAATATTTCTCAATGGTCATATATATGTATTATTATGCAGCATATGTTTATTCTTAATAAAATAAAAATTTTTTTACATATCAGTCAAACGATTTGGCAATTTCGTTGATTATTCAGTAGAAGTACACGGTCAGTCCCCATAGTGGGCGCAAAAATACGCCAGCGTGTCTTTGCGGATTATATTTGGTATACTGAATTAAAAATTATGTATTTCGTATTTAAATTGTTGTTGCGATGGAATTTTATATTTGGAGATGGCGCGATAATGTATATTAGCGGAGGATTAATTTCTTAATTTTTTAATTATTACACAGCAATTAAAATAAGAAGGAATACTTAATGCTTATTGATATATAATGCCTATTCTTGACTGAAAGTAATTCTGGTCTAGCGTTAAGATGATATTATGGGTTGAACACTAATATGTGAAGCACATTCCTTTCATTTTTAAATTGTCTTTAATCAAAATCCCTGTAAAAAATCTGATCCGTGTTTTATCTTTCTATGTTTTTTCTGTGAATTTATCATTTTCATGGAATTAATAGCCTTAAATCATGGAAACTTTCATCTCGCTAACACGGATATCCGTGAATGTATCATTTTCACGGAATTTTTACGGAAGACACGGAGAAATAATGGAAATATTCGGATAAAAATTTTTTATAGGGAATGGTGCGGTAAACTGTGATAGTAACGGTTAAAGTGTTATTTAAAATTGCGCGTTATATTAGGATAAATTTCGAAATTCGTTCTGATTAATAGTTATTTTTATGATTATAAATTATCTAAGAATGTCTGAAAGAAAATTCTATTTTATCCGATTCTTTGAAAATGGTCGAATATATAAACTTTTTCGTTATATTTTAAATAGCCATGCAGTTCTGAGAAAATTTTATACATTACTAATAGTATCAGCATAACCATTTCACTCATTTCACACAATTTCACAATCGCAGACTACTAAGTAATATCTTCTAGAAAGAAATTGCCAATTGCAAAGTTGCTTCTTTTAAATCAGTGGTGTGCTTGGAAGGTTTCTGATAACTTTTATTGGAATTGGAAGGCATGTTGGAAGATTTGAAGTTCCAATATATCATGTGCGTTGAAAGCTTCCAATACTTTCAAAACTTCCAAGTTCCAATTATATATCCATGAAAAATTTTTAAATAGATAAAAATTTTTCTCAAACGTTTCTTTTATTTTACATTTACCAACTTAAAAACAATGACCGCTAAAAGAAAACATAAACCTAAAACCATCGTCTATTCGCCTAACACAGTACTTAGCAAACAAAATAATCGGAAATAACCGTTTTAATATCTAACGAAGTTTAAATCAGTAAATCATATGGTTTAATTGGATAATGGAATTCTTCAATAGGTTGATCATAATTACGTCATGTTTACCATGTTTACCATATTTAGAATATTTATTACGTACAAATTTTAAATTTTTGATTTTTTTTCGCTCATTCTCGTTCTTAAAAATGACGAAAGGATATTCATTAGAACAAGATTTAAGGTTATTAATGAATAATGAAAAATATAGTGATATAGAAATAATATGTGAAAATGAAAAGAAATTACATGGTTCTAGAGTAATCTTAGCAGCAAGGTCAGAAGTATTTGACAGATTACTTTATAGGACGAAAGAAAATCGAATTTCTTTTTCAAACATTAATTTCTCCGTAATGAAAATTATATTAGAATATATTTATACTGGTTCAATTAAAAAAGAATCTTTAGATAGAAATAATATAATTGAAACCTTTTATGCTGCGGGTCATTTTCAATTACCATCTCTTCAGGAATTTATTCTGGCATCTATTAAGAATGCGAGTTATTTAGAAAATTATTCACCAGAATTGTTATCCAAAATTGTGGATATAATGCCATTATCAGAAGATAATATTCTTCTAAATTTATTGGTTGAAACAGTATCAATTATATCATTGGATACTATTGAACATGGTCGATTATCTATTAAAGCACTTCGACATCTTTTATCTTGTACTTATAAAAAAGAAAAACCCTTTGCCACTCCAGAATATGAAGTTTTTCGATATAGTGCTATTCTTGCTGCAAAACAAGTTTCTAATGATGCATATGAAAATATTATGGAACGGTTACCGGCCTTAGATCAAATAAAAAATTCAAATCAAGTACAAAACAATTCTATTACTGATCATCAAAAAATTGAAAAGGAATTGGAGCCTTTGACTCATTTCATTGATTTTAGTCAAATAGAAAGACAAATTTTAACTGATTTTATCGAACCATTAGGAATCACTTCATCAAATTTGATTTTAAATGTCTATCGTCAAATAGTTAAATCAAATAATTTATATTCTAGTGGAATACGAGGAATATCAATGTATAAATTTAAAGAGTCAAATTATGTTTGGGATGAATCAGCATGTGGACCCAAACTTATTTTTGAAGATAATGGAAAAGTTGTGTACGCGCCAGATGGTTGTGGACATCAAAGTGTTAGAGCTAAAATGCCATTAGATTATAAAGGAATTTTTGAATGGAGCGTCATTATTGAAAAATATTGTGTAAATGCTTGGGTTGGGGTATGTGCATCAGAAAATTTTAGTTTTGAATGGTGGGCGGGATGTCAACCTACTGGATGGGCTTTAGGCACTTGTGGTTACTTCCATAATTCTAACAAGGTATTGAAGTATTGCTCACAATTTCAAAATAATGACATTAAAGTAACAGTTCATTTAAATATGTATAAAAAAACTTGCGCTTTTTCGGTTAATGATATGATGTATAAGGAAATATCAGTGAAAGATTTACCGTCAAAACTTTACCCAGTAGTATCATTAAAGAATAATGGTCGCCTTCGAATTCTGCCTTATCAAAAAGTAAATTTTTGATAGCTAAAAAAAAATTATTGTATTTATTTTGGAAATTTTTACATCAACACAATTATGATTTATTGTTCTTATTAACACTTGTCAAAAGAACATCTTTATATTTTCCCAACTGATTGTTGAATAATAGTACTATGAAGAATCATCGAATGATGATGACATTTAAATATGGATTTATTATTTTGTTGTATTTTTTTTTTAAATAAAAGCTATAGTTTTAGCAGCCAAATAATTTCTTAAGTATTCAAGTTGTAGATATTACTTCTAAAACTGTGTGGTAATTTTTCATTGATTTACAGATGCAGTTAAAATCAGATTGAAATTTGGTGGTGTGAAATGTAGGACAGGTTGACTTGTATAGGAAAGCCTATTTTTTCACATTGGCGGTGAAGCGTAATTTTTTTTCACAAAGGTGAATGGCACACTTGCATAATTACGTCACTTAGCATTTTACTTTTAAATAAATATGGTTTTAAATTCTTTAAGCTTGTATTCATCGCTTTCAGTGACGTCAACCTTCCAAAGATTCATAAAGTCAGCATCATCGATTCCTAACGTATCTTTTTTCCTATCCAAAATAAGGACAATTTCGACATTAATACGATAAATCTCGGTAACATTAGCAATGTTAATCGCAAAAGCATCATCAAAAGAAGTCTTTCCTAAGAGTAAACAATTTAGTGACGCCACCATTTTGTAAATAATTCTGTAAAGATGACAAAATGAATTTTTAGAGAAGAAATATTTTTTAGAGAGAGAAAGTTTTGGATATATATACTTGTAAAAACCTTTCTGAATTCATCATGATTAATAATACTTGATCAGTGGCTTATAATGACGATATATAGGTACTTTGAAAAATCAGTAAAAATCTATGCGAAAGAAATGATTAATATGAAGAGTATTAAAAAAGTGAATTAACTGTTACGCAAATTTTTCGGTCATACGGGTCGTATCCATTTGCCTATTTCATACCAGAATTTTTTTTATGGAAACGACAATATAATCAACACAAGATAAATTACTAATTGTGAGTATTGTACTACCAACTTAATGCTTTTGTTTACTATAAACTCGTATATAATTCTTCCACATGGAATTAATTATAAATAAATATTATAATACTGATAAGTATTATCAGTTATATACCAATTTTATTAATTTATATGTAATTATTTAAAAAGTATTCATTTATTATATATTATCAATAAAGCTAATCAATAAATGTAAAAAAAAATTTATTTATTCATTAAAAAATTTATTTGACTACTAGTAACGTAATTAATTATATTGAATATATTGAATATACAGTATTAGCAAATCTTAAAATAAAAAAAAAAAAGTACGACCAAAAAGAATGAGAGTCAGAAGGTATATTTTTAATAATTAACAAATTTATAATATTAATGATTGTTGTTTATTTAAATTTTGATGATGATAGGAAAAGAAACGCTATGTTAAATGTTCTCAGAAATGATTTCAAAATTAAAAGTGCAGTAATAATTCCCTAATTACTAAAGTTAAATATAATATTATGTTAGCATATATCAATAATCAAGTATGCCCATAACATAGAAATATGTGTCACTTCCACGGGCACCACGGCCTGCCCTCCCATATGAGTCAGCTTGTGGGACCACCTATATGGCATCATTGTAGTTACGACATTGTGCACAAAGCAGATGACTACTAGTCTGTAGCATATGGTACGTACTATGAACACATAAACCCCTATGTCATAACACTTAAAATGACGCACGCCCATAAAGCAAGTAGAACCATACAACGGAAATACTTGCCTTAAATCCTTATGTTTTTTTGATGTTAGTGATCAGTGATCCGCAGTTGAATTAGTGATCCGCAGTTGAATTTCGTGTTAAAAACAAATATATCACAATTATAAACCACTAGGCCTTGTTGCACTGTCAGTCGATTGTATTGTATTGGTTTTGCAATTGGCTGAAAGAGTAATGGATTTTTGTATGTATGTATTTAAAAAAGTGGATTTTTTGAGTGCGAAAAAGGTGATTTTTATAGTTTTATGGAATATATTTTCTCTGAGATTTTTACTCATGTTGAATCATCAATCATAAACAAAGATCTTTTATGACTCGGCATGAACACACTATTTTTACCAGAATACTTGAGAATTCTCATGCGAACATAAAACGCTTTTATGACTCAGCATGACATATTTACTTATTATAAATAAAAATATGGATAATAAATATACACATGAAATACATCGTCATCCTTATTATGTTGATGACTCAAGTCTAAACCCGATTACAATAAAAATTTTATTGCTGCTGATAAATTCATTCTGAATGGGTAAATACTAATTATGATTCATATTTAAACATATTAATTATATTTTTAATTTTTTTTATTTGATAACCAATAAAATCGATTCTGATTCGATTAATTCAATTCGATAGCGACATTTTGATAACTGTTTGCGTAATAGTGTTTGTTAATTAATATACTAATAAATGATTTAATTATAATTCCTTGCCATTTTTTTAAAACTCTATTATGTAATTACCTATATTTGACAAATTATATATTATTTATAAAAATGACCCGTAAAAAAAGTTTTAAATTTCTTTTTTCCATAAAAGGCTAATAATTAATAGCCTTATATCTTATTATACGTGAATGAATCCGGGAAAGGCCATTTTTACAGAGTTTTTGCAAAAATAACAAAAAATTTTTTAAAAAAATTGATTGGCCGGTTTTATCTACAAAGTTCAAAATGGGATATCGTTACTTCAAAATGGCATTCAATAGCAGTCTCAAGTTATTCAAAATAGGGATGAAAAAAGGCGATATCCTACGACTAAACCCATAATTTAAAAAATCAAATAGTTTTTCGTTTAATTCAATAAAAATATTTTTGAATGGTTGTTCTACGCGAATCATGACATTTGTTAAAAAACATTTTTTGAATGGATCTTTAATAAATTTTACAGGAAAAATTAAACATATAGTAAATAAATTTTTGTATATCGTATGTGAAGTAGTGTATTTAATAATTTATATATTTTATTGAGATTGATCCTGAATACGGTAATAATAATTTACCATTGATTCAAATATGTGGATTTTTTATAAATAGGAACACTATTATACTATTTTATTGACTAATTATAGCGTAAGAAATTTCAATAAATAAATTTGTTAGAAAATTTTCATTTCAAACAAACATAATATATATATTTTTTTTGGTTTACTGATTTTAGGTCTTTTTTTACACTTAGAATTTTCTAATTTACATTCATGTGTATTTTTAGTTACAGTATTTATTTATAAAAATGTAAAAATATTTATTATAGCGATAAGCATGTCTAAAATAGTTTATTAAACTTGTTTGTATAACTGTTACATAATTACAGTACATAGCATTCAGATCATACTAAAATTCAGATTTTGAAATTTAATTTTTTTTTTTAAAAAAAAAAAATTTTTTCATTTTTCCAATTTATATTTGTATTTATTTTAATAATAAAATAAAAAAAAAATTTTCATTTTAAACCTTTATTATAAAAATTGTATTATGTCTAATATTCGATGAGAATTAATTTATGCAACAGCTAATAGAGCATATTCGTTAATTGATTATAATATTCACACTGACTCGCACAAACGATATGAATTTCAAAAACAATTTATTCTAGATGATAAACTTCTTACAGATGATGAAAAAACTGAAGCAATAATAAAATTAACTAAAACTTATGACCGAAATAAAATTCTTAATAATTCAGGAACAAAAAGAATTTGTGAAAATTGTAATCAAGAATGTTTAGCAACATTATATTGTGAATATTGTGTTCGAAATTATTTAAAAGCAAATTTTAAAAATTGGACATCCGGAAATAATGATATTGATAATTTAATACAGAAATGTCAATCAGAAGCACTTAAGCCAAATAAAGTAGTTGAATGGATCCCATATAATAATCTAAAAAATATTAAATATCTAACAAAAGGTGGATTCTCCGAAATTTATACAGCAAGATGGATTGGTGGAAGATATGATAAATGGAATTCTAATGAACAGCAATTAGAAAGATTTGGAACTATTACAGTAATACTTAAAAAATTAGAAAATGTCGAAAATGCAAATCAAAGTTGGCTTGAAGAGTATGAAATTTAAAGTTTTTTATATTAACAATGGCATGTTATCATTTAGGTTAAATCACATTTAACTGTAGGCAATAAAACTCCTACTATTGTCGGTTGCTTTGGTTTAACACAAAACTTATCAAATGGAAATTACATGCTTGTAATGAGAAAAATGGATATAAATTTAAGAGAATATTTGCAACAAAATTATAATCAACTTACATGGAAAGAAAAAATTAGAATTGCTTTTGAAATAATTTATGCACTTTATTTTATTCATTTTGAAAAGGCAATTCGTAGAGATTTGCACTCTGGAAACATATTATATTCACAACATAATCATAGTTGGCGTATTAGTGATCTTGGATTTTGTGGACCTGCTGATAAATCATCATAAAGTATATATGGAAATCTTCCTTACATAGCACCCGAAGTTATTAATGGAAAAGGATATACTTTTGCATCTGATATTTATAGTAATGCAATACTTATGTGGGAAATCTCATCTGGATATTCACCATTTATTGATAATATAAAGCATGATGATTATAATCTTGCAATGGATATAATTAATGTATGAGACCAGAAATTATGTCAGATATTCCTTTAGAATATAAAGTTTAATGGTACAATGTTGGGATGCTGATCCATTAAAAAGACTTGAAATACGATCTCTTCAGAGAAAAATAAGAGAGATTCATCTATCATATCAAAATATGCCAAATGAATTTTTCCAGTTAAAAGCAGTGAATAATTTTGAAATAAAAACTAGTATAAATTATACAAGTAGCAGATTATTTACGAGCAAAGTTCATCAATTTGAAAATTTACCCGAACCAAAAAATGCAACAGAAGGTATTATTTATTAAGTTTTTTGTTTATTGATTGATATATGATGACGTTACTAATTTTTTTTTAATTTAAATGTACTCGTTATAGAAGAACAAGAAGGTTAGCTTTTTATTGTTATTTTATTAACTATTATAATAATTTATAACCTATTTTTCTTATTTTTTAAATAGCATTTCATAGTAAAACATATGACTTTAGTATTCCTGATAATAGTAGGTATTTATTGGAATTTTCATTTGATGAAATATTTATTAATCAAATTTTTGTTTTTTAGTTGAAGATTTTAATATTAATAATTCAAACGATCAGAAGATTAATAAAACATCAAAAATAAATAGTATTTTTAAAGGTAATTTATTTATATATTCAAATTTTTGAAATAATGATACAAATTTATCTCGATTTTAGGTGATAGTAAAAGATTATCTAAAGAATTTAAAAAGTTACAAATAAGTTCAAAGAATGGTAAATAATATTATTCTAAATTTTAATCGTTTATTAAGCAATATTTATTATAATCTTAATTATTTATTTATTTAAAATTTAGACATTCCAATTGATCATAAAAAAGAAACAATGCAACAAATGAAAGGATCAGTTAACGGCAAGTAATTTTTTTTTGCTATAAATTTTTCATTTTATTTTGCAGTGTTTAAATTAAAAACTTTTGTCCTTTTATAGATGATGACGAAATACATAATAATCCAAACTTTCATTGAATTTGAGATTCCCGATGGTTAGTTTCTTAATATTTTTCTATTTCTCTTAATATTGTATAAATAATATCTTAATTACTAATTTATATTATTTATATGTATTCTTTTTTAGATGGATTTTAAAATAACAAACGATATTGGAAATTTTATTTTGAATTATTTAAACACTAAGACTAGAGTAGTAAAATATTTTACGCGTTTCTTAGTTTGTAATTTAAATAATTTAAATAATTTTTTTTATATATTATATATTATCAATAAATTTAAAACTCTCATCACTGATGATTTTATATTGCTTTTTTGGCAGCCATTTTTCCAAAGTTGTGATAAGCTGAATAACTTATAAATCTAACCAGTTGAAAACCGCAGAACTCAGGATTTTAACTTTTGGAATTATTTGCTTTCAAGATTTTTGATCATTAAAATCACGAACCATCAGCCGAAAAAAAGCAGACTCGTGATAATTGCCGCAGTTCTTTTATTGGAATTTCGTGATTACTGTAAAATATAAATAATCCAATGTATGGTGATATAGAAATGTGAAAAGAAATTACATGATTCTAGAGCAATTTTAGCAGCAAGATCAGAAGTATTACAGATTACTTTATAATGGGATGAAAGAAAACCGAATTTCTTTTTCAATCATTATATGTTAGAATATATTTAAACTGGTCCAATTAAAAAAGAATCTTTAAATAGAAATAATCTAATTGGATCCTTTTATGCAGCGGTTCATCAGAATTTATTTTGTCAACTATTAAAGATACGGATTATTTGGAGCAGAATTATTATCAAAAATTGTGGATATAATGCCATTATCAGAAGATAATAACAAATTTCTTACATATAACTAGAATATGCAATTTGCCGGGGGACTTCGTCCCCCAAATATAACATTTATAATTAAAAAAATTCTTTGATATAAATAAATTGAATTGTATGTAAAATCACTAAAATATTACTGAATAATAAAATTTATTATAATTAGATCCTATAAAAAATCATGTTTTTAATAAGGTTTTATACAATTTTTTATTAAAAATAATATTTCTAATCTATATAGGAATACAGAAAATGCACAATTCCATATTACAAAATGCATCATTTGCATGATTTGACCATAATTTATGCTGAATTTATATTGATTTGATCACAGAAATTACATACTTTAAGCATAGAATTTACATGATTTGGTTAATGAATTTACTATTAGTTGCATTTATATGAATTTGATTTTAATAATATTTTATTAAATTATTAAATCAAATATAAAAATAAAAAAAAATCCTTAGTATCAATGTGATTATAATTAGCCAATAATATAAATTAATTCTTATGATTTAAAATAATGATGTAAGTTGTAATAAGTGTTTTAAATTTAATACAGCTACAAAAAAATGAAATCTTATAAAAATTAATATTCAAGTAGAATCAACCCGCCTGAACAACTTTCAATTAATAAATGAAGTTGATTTCATTTGTCCAAAGTAGATATATTACGCTCTAAATTAAAAAAACAGAAAAGAGAGTTAATATCGTTAAGAAAAATGCAATTTTCTTTAAGCACTACACCTACATTCATAAAAATTAATATTCAAGTAGAATCAATCCACCTGAACAATTTTTAATTAATAAATAAAGTTGATTTCATTTGTCCAAAGTG